TTTTCACTTGTTTATGAGAGAAAAAGAGAGAAACAGACAGAGAGAGAAAGGAGGAAAAGTGCTCATTTAATGTTCATAAACTGAGCAGCACTCTGTATTTCCCAAGAAAGCAACAGAAAAGCCTCCTCCAGAGCGGTCCGGTTACATCCTTCTCTTCGTGCAGCCTCAAGCCAAACAGCACATCAGCCTTCTACTTCACAACTTGAGTCGCACTATGAGGCCAGGATTACAGTTTTTATATCAATATTTGAGACAGAGATTGTTTAAAATAATTAGTAACTGATTTTAGGGACAAGATATTTTTCACAATTGAATAAACACAGCACAGCTTTCACATCTGGGTCGTGCAATTTCCTGCTAATGTACAAATATTTGCACAAGTTTGTCTTCACTTGAATTTAGAGCATCTAAATGAGGCAAAATGTGAATAAAATGATGCCCAATGTTTCATAAACATCTCACATGCAGGCTAAAAATTACTACGAAAAGAGTGAAATAAGTGCAGCCCTATTTTTAGGTTTCCGTTGCCCTCATGCCCCAGTGTTCTGATTTACTTCTCCTAATAAAAAATACATTCATTTATATTTTAAGGGTACGTCTCATACAAAATCCAGCGTTTCATTCATGGATTTATTTTTGTTACTTCATGACTGTATAACCTTTAGTTGTAGAGATGTTCTAAACAGGCTGTGTTGCTCTGAAAACCACTGCTGGGAGGAACCCAGCTGTCAATCACAGTTTGATCTGGACTGCTATTGGTCAGTTAGGTGTTCAATAGCACCTGGAGGCGGGGCTTGGGGAATTAAACAAATGTCTTCATATCTCAACAGCTTTAATTTGAACTTTTAACTTATTAACAATCACAAAAAAGAAAAAAAAGGACTTTCACCATATTTAAAGTTACAGACAGTGAAACAGCCGGTTTCACTCGTAAGTATTTCAAGTATTTTGAGCTGAAATTTGAAATCCACATTCCGGGGAAAGGTGGGACTTACAATAACTTGTTGAAAAGGTGTATAATATGGGAGCTTTGACATTTCCCCCCTGTGTATTTGATGCTGTTACTACAACTAGAAAAGAACCTAAAATCATATAATTTCATCATACCAGCAAAACATGGTCTGCTCCACCATCTCAAAATGTGAAACTCACTTTGGATCTGCAAAGTTTGGCAGCTGTACACCCACAATTCCTCTAAGGGGGAACATGTTCATTGTGATTTAAGTACAAAGTACAAAAAATAACTGCAAGTATGAGGCTGGTAATCTTCTTTGGTCTTCTTATTGCCAAGACATCCCACCAAAATGTATACATTTTGTATTATGTATACATGTATTTATCTTGTAAACAAGAATTTTCTACATAACCAAAGTCTCATATATATTATTTCACTGAACCGTGGACTTTTAAGGAAATTGCACTGGACGACTTATGAACATGGGGACTGTAGTAAATAGCTGAAAATATTCCATAGCAAATGCACTGTTTCCTACTTGAGTAAGATTTGCTAAAAACTATTGTCTTACCAAATTTTATTTCAAAAATAAAACTAGATATTTATGTTTTTTTTTTTCTTTAACAATGAAATCTTTAGTAAAAACAACATGGGCTTAGGGTTGAGAGCAACAGACGAAGCTGGAAAGCATAGGTTGAGTAGCAAGTTTGTTTTGGTCTTTTCATTACGTTTGTTGATTGAAACCAAAAGAAAAAAAAATAGAGTAACAACAGCCTTATCTTTGAAGACATGCTGGGGAAAAAAATTGCTTGAAACACAGAACAAGAGCAGATCATTAGCGTGTGCTCACTGTCTTTATGAGGACGCTCAACAATTATCCCGTACAATTCCTCACAGTCACAGTCTAGCACCGATAGTCTCGCAGGAATCAGTTATAGTTGAACACAAAGCATCAAAAAATAGTAAATTAGAACAAAAAACTGCTTTCTGCTTTCTTCCAAGTTGCATTAATGACCCATATGGGAGACATATCAGTAATCTTTGGCCATTTCAGTGCCATATTCCCATTTAAACCAATCTTTTAGTCCTTTATCACAACGGATTCCAAATACAGTGGCGGGAGAGGATAGCGACGCTTTAAGCTGCCACTAAAATACACACAAGGGTGGATACAGATGTGCATACATACACTCACTAAGAGGCAGAGCATGACGTGGAGAATATTCTGCAAATCTAAAGACCCTGTACAGTAACATGAGGTCTCCTTTAATAGGACATTAAATCCCCACCAGGTTCTGTATTGCAACACTCAGAGAACAAACACAGAAAAACGCTTATACATTCAAATTTTTTGTAATTATTGAAGTAATTAGACATAATTCTCATATATATAGAGATAAACACAGATGAATATTAACGGCTCCACAGTCCAAAATGTGCGTCATGACAAAGCAAAGCTATAAAGCCCAAGTGTAGTGAGGCACAGTTCAGGGCAAGTTTATAAAACCATTTTTAAAGTGTTGCCAGGAGCACAATAGCCTTGATAATTGTGAAATGAAAGAAGTTTAGAACCTCCACGACCCCTCCTAGAGTCTGGCCAAACTGAATAAATGAGGAGGGAAGACCTTTATCAGGTAGGTGACCAACAACCTCACAGTCACTCCAACAGAACTACAAGTTCTCTCATCTCCGCAGAGGATTTCTGTCCTCTATTAGTCTCTCAATTAGGCCTCTATGGTAGAGTAGCCAGACAGAAGCCTCTTTGATTAGCAGGCATGACAGCCTACTTGAAGTATTTTTTAAAGGACTCTGAGAGCGCTAGAAAAAAAGATTCTCTCACCTGATGAGACAAAAACTCCAGTGACTGTGTCTGACGAACACCAGGCTCCTCACCTGGTTACTACTGTGCTTAAATTAAAGCAAAGTGGAAGCAGCATCTTGCTTTGGGGGTGCTTCTCAGCAGCAGGAACAGGAAAACAAGTCAGAATTGAAGGGAGGATGAATGCAGTCAAATATAGAGAGGTCCTGGAGGAAAATCTGCAGCATGAAACAACATGAGTGCTGTTGTGCTGATGGGTAAATCGTCAACACTGGAGTGACTACTGGACAGGTTTCTGACTGTCCTCGAGTGGCCCAACAAACCACAGCCGTTAACCCGTAGAACATCTGTGGAGAGACCTGAAGATTGCAGTTCACGGGTGCTTCCATTCCAAAATGACAGAGTTTGACAGCATCTCTCAGGAAGAATGGGATAAACTGTCCAACTCCTGGCGCGCAAAGCCTTTGGAGACTTATCCAGAAAGACTCAAAAGTGTAATCGCTGCCAAAGTGGCTTCTGCAAATCAGTGGACAAAGGGTCTGAATAGATTTAAAATAAAAAATATATATACTTTCGTTGAAGTTTCTAAAAACACACTGTGATTAAGGATAAGGGAGCGAACGTACTCTCAGAGTGAACAAAGGTCACGACATCAGTGCGGAAGGTAAATCCGTCACATTGCCGTTTACCTGCGTGACCTCTAACTCCAACCCCGCTGAGTGAATACGACACTTCCTCCTGTGTTGGCACTGAACCCTGCACAGCCATGCAGTATGAAAGTAATTCCACAGAAGAATGACCTCTCTCTAGTCCCACAAGCACACAAGCACATAATAAGTTGTTCTTGTAAATAATACCTGGTTGTAGAGAGCACACACATGCAGGGCGGTGTTTCCAGATGCATTCTGGGCACTCATGTCGGCTCCGTAGAACAGCAGATGCTCCAAATGCTGCACGTGACCGTAGCGGCATGCCTGAAAGAAGAGAGTAAAGCAGTTAGTCTTTTTTGGAAATGTTGTTTACTTATGAAGTCAAAAGGAAGCAAGCGCTGTCTCTCTGAGAAAAGCAGGTACCTCGTCTTTGTTGAGAAATAAGGTGTGTTAAAGAAATGACAAATGCTGGATTTAAGCAAATAGAAAGTCAAGATTAGTCAACAGCACATTGTATTTCTGTAATCCAACCAATCACAATGAACAAAGGTTGCCTAAATAATCTCGATTTTGGCCCTCTGGCTCGACCTGTTTTGCCAAAAGCGCTCGTCTCTTCGTCTCTGGTCAAACAAATGTGATGTAATCCACCTCGTTGCCACTTAATACAGTTGGGGTTACAGTTTAATAGCTCGGATGTGCTCGGCGGCCCCCGTAAGATGTGTTGCAAATTCCAGAACATGTAAACCCTAGAAATTTTAAAAACTACCTAATCTTCAGCCCGAGCTTTTCCTTGGGCTACTTCCTTTTGTGAAATTCTCCTCACCCATGCTGCTAACTGTCTCTAAAAGGAAAGGAAAATCTTGCTTGTATCACCTGAGGCGAAATGTAAATCTGTGAAGTTATTCTGGCAAGAGTTATGCCTTTTTTTTTTTTTTTTTTTTTTGCTGCTTCTTTGTTTCACATAACTGGGAGCAATAAACTTTTCATCTAATCTCTATCTTCTCTCTCTTTTTTTTCCGTCCTACTTTGTGGTTTTGTCCCGTGTCATTGACAAAGGAGCACACAAACTCTCCCCCAGAAATTGTTCTCTCACTCCCCGTGTTCTGTCTCGCTAAGAGTGTGTGACAGCGGTGAGACAGCGCACAAATGATGCTGGGATTGTTGTTGGATATCAGCCCTTCTGCAGTGTATCCTATTGTACACAATATATACCACAAGAATGCTAATGCTGGAAAGGACACAGAAAAAAAAAGAAAAGGGGGGAGAGACAAGGAGGGGAGTGAAAGGAATGAAATGGGATCAAAATGTGTAAGGCTGAAGGACTATTGGATTTACTCTGCATAAACAAAGAAACATGATCTGGTTCAACATCTAACCTACACTCCTTTTATTTAAACCCCTTACTCAAGACGCATGTTAAAAGGACGCACATGCTTTCTATGGCAGCGGTGAAGAACAACAAAAACAACCATTCAGGAACATTATTCTTCCTCTTTGTGAGGTTTGAGTGTTCCAAGCTGGATTCACCAAAACCCACTTAAGTCTCCCAACTTGTCATGAATTGCCAGTTATTGCTTGTTAAGCTGATGGATGCCACCAATTGATGGAAGGGATGTTCTTGAGACTTGTTTAGTAGCACAGTCAGTTCCTCTAACATTGGCATATAAGGTTGCCTCTTCCATCCCATCCATCCATCTACCCATCTATTATCTATACATCCTCACTAGGATCGTGGGAGGGGGCTGGAGTCTATCCCAGCCAGTCTATCACAGGGCCACACTTATGGACAGACAACCAAGCACACTCACATTCACACCTACGGACAATTTAGAATCACCAACTAACCTCAGCATGTTTTTGGACCTTGTGGGAGGAAGCTGGAGAACCCAAAGAGAACCCACGCTGCAACATGCAAACTCCACGCAGAAAACACAATTTAATTTCATAATTTTGTCACTAGTTCGGACACGTGATATTTAAAAGTCAACTTCTCAATGATCCAAATAACAAGATGTTTCTACATATAACTCTTTTATTATATGACACCCCCTTTGGTGAAGATCATGAATTTATCCTAAGAGTTTCTAAAGCGTCTCTTTGTGGTTCTTTCACCTTTCATCCAAGAGACTTCTTCAGGTCTACAACTTGTAACAGCATCAACAACAGCAGTTAATTTCAAAGTAACACTGGAAAGATTTTCTGTTTTGAACTGAAGAAGCCTTTTGGGTGAAACGTCTTAAAGAACCAAAAAAAGTCTGCTTGTCTTCTGCTGAAACTCTTAGCATGACTTGGATGACTGAGAATCTAACCATCCATCCATTATCTATACACCGCTTAATCCTCACTTGGGTCATGGGGGGCTGGAGTCTATTCCAGCTGACTTAGAGTGAAGGCAGGAGACACCCTGGACAGGTCACCAGTCTATCACAGGGCTACACTTAGAGACAAACAACCAAGCACACTCACATTCACACCTACGGACAATTTAGAATCACCAATTAACCTCAACATGTTTTTGGAGAACCTGGAGAACATGGAGACTCCAGGCAGAAAGCTCCCGGGTGTCCTCACTAGGATGCAAACCGGCGACCTTCTAGCTGTGAGGCAACGGTGCTAACCACTGAGCCACCTTGCAGCCCCCACCCCATCTAGTTTGGTCAAATGCGGTTAAAAATCTGACAAATGTACAAGAGTAAAAGAGCAAAAAGAAGAATTTTATACTGCTGAGCTTCAAATCCTGCAGAAGTCAAAAACACAATCAGTGTCAGTAGTCACGTTAGAAAACCACTTAGTTGGAAATAGACATCAACAGTACTGCTGTCAATGATGTGTCATCAGAGCAGCACTGTGTTGTGACAAAGAACGAAAGCTTTGCTGAGAAGGTAGATGCCTTTTTTTTTTTTTTAAAGCCAGGTGGTCAAAGAGACTACACTGTGAGGCGTATTAGTCAAAGGAGTCCTGTAGTTTACAGTGGGTGATGTTACACTACTGGGTGCAACAGAAGATGCTGCTGGACAGCGACCTGACAAAGAGCCCGAGGCAGCTGTCACAGTGACAGAATTTATCTATCAGCTACTGAAATGTAGAAGTCTGCTGAACAAAATCACAAACCATCTTAAATTGCTTGTTCAAATCAGTTCAGTTCTTGCTTGAGGTCCACCGTCTTTATAATACAGAGCTTTTAAACCTACATGTGGAATCATTGAAACACTTCATCACAGTTTTTTTTTCACAGATTTATTACAGGTCTTGTGGAAATATGAGGAAATCTGCTGGGTCAAAAGCATTCATACAGCACTGGTCAAATGTCCTTTGGCTATTTTCACCTCAGCTAGGTTTTTTTTTTGCTGTCCACTTGTGGAAAGTTTGTGGTTCTATCTTTGATCACGTTTCTTGACAGAGTTGGTGCAGTTCAACGAAATTTGCTTTCTGACAGTTTTGTTTCTTCATCACAGTCCATAAATTTTGATGGTGATTAATTCGGGAAGTCAGCAGCTTCGAATTCATTGCTTAGACCTGCTTTTTGGTGATTCTTGGTTGAATGTTGGGCTGCAGGGTGGTGCAGTTGGTAGCACTGTTGCCTCGCAGCAAGAAGGTTGCCGGTTCGCGTTGCCGGAATCTTTCTGCGTGGAGTTTGCATGTTCTCCCCGTGCAGCGTGGGTTCTCTCCGGGTTCTCCGGCTTCCTCCCACAAGGTCCAAAAACATGTTGAGGTTAATTGGTGATTCTAAATTGGTGTGAATGTGAGTGTGCTTGGTTGTCTGTCTCTAAGTGTAGCCCTGTGATAGACTGGCGACCTGTCCAGGGTGTCCCCTGCCTTCACCCTGAGTCAGCTGGGATAGACTCCAGCCCCCCGTTACCCTCGTGAGGATTAAGCGGTGTATAGATTATGGATGGATGGATGGTTGAGTGTTGACCATCCTGAAAAAAATGTCAGAAGGTGACAGCTTGTATTTTCCTCCGGATCTTGATCCCAGCAGATTTTGTTGTTTTTCAAAAAGACCTAGAGTAGATCTATGGAAAAAAACGAAGTGCGGGATTGTTTTGTGACACACGTTTCAGTCATTTTATCACAGGTGTTATAGGAGTCACTGGAAAGTCAAGTCTTTACACACGTATGTAAACTTTTGTTCACAAGCGTACATGAGTCACCACTGGGCCGTCCACAACACAACAGCTACTTTAGTTCACAAACACCTGACGGGCTCCGTTCAGGCTTCTTGTTAATTTCGTGTCTTATCCAAGAATACAAAGTTGTTGCTCTGAGCTCATCGCAGAAAAAAAACAAACAGCAATTCTGAACATTTCTCATAACTACCTCACAATAATAATAAAAGCAAGACCTTCAGATGAACCTCACCGGGCTGATGTTGCGTAATTAACTGGAGGAAAGAGAAAAACAGGCAGTTCAGGGGACAGTCAGTGGGAACATGTGAACCATGAAATGTTAGTGCAGGAGCTGTTTTTTTTAGTTTTTCTTTACTCCTGCTACTCTTTTCAAATGAGTTCATAGATATATTGATGATAAAAACAATGTTCCCAAGAAAATTTTTCAGATTCAAATACACCACATTTTCATTTTTTTTTTAACTTAAGAATTCGCTTGATTACCACACGATCATCAGAGAAAACTGTCACTGCCGTTCAGCATTTCTTCTGCACTTATTCATATTCAGCGTCAGCGACAGAAGTGACGACTCCCACAGCTGTCTGTTTGGTTCCATTTACAGTACAAGAACCTTCAGACCTCCAGTGTCTTTCTGTCACTACTCAGATATAAGCTAAAAAGCCCTGACACAAACAAAAACACCATGTAGGCACTAGCCTCCATTATGTTTACAGAGCAGGGCATGCCTTGAGGCTCTCCTTGTGTAAAATGCATACAATATGCTGTGTTTGCTCTTCGTCAGTCCAGAAAGTATTTCTGTGCTTAACTCAGGCCGACACCACCACTTGGACTTCCAGACAGCGGAGGCCAGGGTTTGAATACAGCCGCAGCAACAAAAAGCCAGATTAACTTTTTGGGGTGTTGATGAACTTTGAAGCTGCTCTTTTCTGCAGACTTTCACTCCACTAATTGTAGAAGCACATGCAAATCTATCAGCGTTGGTGATTATGTTCTGGATACCTCATCACTCAAAATGTGTGCAAATATGTATGTATTTGTGTAAATGTCTTCATGCACAGTAGTAGTCAGCTGCCAGCTGGTCCATTATTGGGCCAAGACTGATTCTTGGCAGCTCCTGGATGGGTTGCTGCTCTGCACCTGGCTAGTACGAGATCCCCCCTCTGATGATATCGCAACATCCAGAGCCATCTTCTAAG